ATCTCTACAGTAGTGCCAGTGATTTMGTTTGTCTTAACCTCCAGTGTTAGTAATAACTTTCCTACCCTCAACTTTTCTTCTCCTCCTCATCCTCCTTCTTCTCCTTCTCTTCTTCCTCTTCTCCTTTGTCTTCCCTTTCCTTTCCTTTTTTCCCCTTGGTACTAAAGGTTGAACATTGCACATGCTAGGTGAGCACTGGGGCTACATCCCCAGCCCTTCTTGTTTAATTTTTAAAATTTTGAGACAGTCTTACTAAATTACCGAGGCTGGCCCTGAACTTGAGATCCTCCTGCCTCAACCTCCCAAGGAGCTGAGATTACAGGTGTGCATCACTGTGCCCAGTCATCCTTATCATTTTTTAAAAAATATTTTTAGTTGTAGTTGGACACAATACCATTTATTTATTTATTTATTTATTTATTTATTCATTCATTCATTCATTCATTCATTCATTCATTCATTCTTATGTGGTGCTGAGGATCGAACCCAGCTCCTCACATATGCTAGGTGAGCGCTCTACCACTGAGCCACAGCCCCAGCCCCCATCCTTATCTTTTTGATCCATCAGTAGCATCTATCACATCTGATTACTTTCACCTCCTGAACTACTTTCTTCACTTGATTTCCCAGACTTAGCACTTCAATTATCTTTTCTTTAAAATATTTTTTTAGTTGTTAATGGACCTTTATTTTAGTTATTTATAGGTGGTACTGAGAATGGAACCCAGTGCTTCACACATGCTAGGCAAGCACTCTACCACTGAGCCACAACTCCAGCCCTTGATTGTCTTTTCCTCTCACACAGTGCTGCTTTCCAATCTCATTAGCTAGTTTCTCCTTGTCTCTTTGACCTCTCTATTTCCTAGTGTCTCAGAGCTGAGTCTTCAAAACTTCCTTTTCTCTACTACTTCTCTTTTTTGTTGCCTCACCCACTATCATACTGTCAGGCATATCTATATGCTAAAAGAGTTCACATTTTTAATTTCCCACCTGGATTTCTCCCCTGAACTCTGCGCTCTGTCCAAATATCTCCACTAAGATATTTAATAGCATCTCAAACTTCATATGAACAGAACAGAGATCCCAGTTCTGCTTAACTTCCTCTTGCAGTCTTTCCCATTTCAGTAAGTGGCATCTCAGCTTTTCCATTGCTCAGGTAAAACCCCCAAAGTCATCTTGAATACCTTTTCCTCTCACATCTCTCCTTCCATCTTTCAACAATGCTTGTTGGTCTTGGACATATTTTTAGAATGGAATCACTTCTCACCGAAGTCAGTGGCCCCATTATCTCTTGCCACAGTTGTTGCAGTGACCTCCTAACTGGTCTCCCTGAATTCATCTCAGATCCCTTAAAGTTTGTTTTATTGATTTATTGAAGTACTAGAGATTGAACCCAGGGGTATTCTACCATTTAGCTCTACCCYCAGCCTTTTTTAATTTTATTTTGAGACTGTGTCTCACTAAGTTGTCCAGGCCAGACTTGAACTTGTGATCCTCCTAKCTCAGCCTCCTGAATAGCTGAGATTACAGATGAGCACCACCCATGCCCAGGCATAGAATTTATTTTTAACACAAAACCAGTTCTCTTTTAAACTATAAGCCAGATCACTTCACTCCGCTGCCCAAAATCCTGCAACAGATTTTATTTCACTCATAATGAAGACCTGAGTGTCCCTCTGGGCCTGTCACTCTTACCTTTATCTTGCTCATTCTGCTCCAGCCTGCCAACTGGTAGCCTCCACTCCCATCTTGGGGCCTTTGCACTTACTGTTGCTTTTGCTGTGAAAGATGTCTTCCAAAGTATCTGCCTGGGTCTCTGCTCAAATGTCACCTTTACAGGGTCTACATCTCCCTTGGCTATCCTATATGCAATTACAACTCTCCTTACCTTAGCAATTTCTATATCCCTATATGGCTTTATTTTTCCCTTTAGCACTCAGCACCACCTGATACACTAATGCCTACTTCATTTATCTAATTGTATTGACTAGCTTTCCCAAACTAGAATGTAGACTCCATCAAGGCCAGGCTCTCTGTGTGTTCACTGTTGTGTCTGACTAGGATGGTTTCTGGCACACGGTATGCATTCCATAAACATCTGTCTTGTGAATTAGTGAATGGATTCTATCCCCAGGATTCTTTCTGGTATCCAACATAAATATTCAAAYGCATATTGGATGGCTCCATGTTGAAATGAAAATTCAACATGTCCCAAATGGAACTCAGTATTTTTCTGACCCCAGCTCGAACCTGCTGTTCCTCCTGCATCCCCGTCTCAACACAGCCACAACCATCCTTTCAACTGTGCAAGCAGAAACAGAATCCTCTCTGACAACCTCTTTTCCTCACCCCAACATTTAATCAAGCACCAAGTTTTGTTGATTTTATCCTTAAAATTCCAAGAACAGGTTAAATGCGGACTTCTTTCCTTTCCAATCTACATTTTTGTCCATATCACCACCTTCAGTGTCCTAAGGAGATGCCCTGCCTCCTCTCTGGTCACAAGAGTGAATTCTAATCTTACCTTGTTTTTCTCCCTGAAACACCTCAAGGGCTCACATAATCCCCATCCCCATATAATGCAATGTTCAAGCATTTTCATGACCTATTTTGTTTGTTTGTTTGTTTTTGCCTAACTTTGTTMACTTTTTCTTTGCAGAGATTTTTCAGGTGATATTTGCTCTGACTGAAATGTTCTTTCCATCCCTTGGTGTGGCTGCCATTCACTATTCTCCAGGCCTCAACTTAGATGTTACTTCTAAACCTGCTCTGATGTGCCAATGCTTTCAGAGCACCATGCCCTTCCTTCACCATAACCCTGACCACACCATGTTAAAACTCATCTTTACTTGTTCTTAAGCTCTGGAGAGAAACGAACACAAAAGGCCTGTTGAGTCTTTGCATGTTTAACCCAATCTTGATTTCTGCTTTTCAGAAGACCTGAACTCATACGAACAGAAACTTCTGCTTTTACCTCACTTGATGTTTAAGCTTTCTGACACAGAATAATAGCAGGTTCCCATTTCTGAGGATGGACTTACCCAACTCCTGAGTTTTTCCTTGTACCACTATGTCCAGCAAGTTTTACATATAATTTGTAAATGAACAAAATACCTTTATTTTAATATGGTGCTGAGGATTGAACCCAGGGCCTCCACAGATGCTAGGCAAGAGCTCTACCACTGAGCTACAACCACAGCTTGAGTTTTCTGTTTTCAAGCCAAATTTTCCCTCCATAAATGCTCATCCTTCTATTTCATATGGAAAAGGAACAAGCAGCTGATTTAATTTACAATAGTTTCAAATTCATAGTGCAACACAAAAAGAATGGAGGCTCTGTGATAGCTTTGCTAACATGGTTTGTTTGTTTATTTGATGTTGGGGATTGAACCAGAGGTGTGCTACCACTGAGCTACGTGGCCAGGTCTTTTTATTTTTGATTCTGAGTCAGGCTCTCAGTAAGTTTCTGAGGATGGCCTWGAACTTTTAATCTTCATGCCTCWGTTTCCTGAGTCACTGGGATTACAGGCATGTACTAATATACATGATTGGAGGGGCTTATTTTAAATAAATAGTTTAATCCACATCTGGGTGGGCCTTGTTTCCAAAATGACAGGTTGGTTGAAACAAACCAACTCAGTGCAAGCTGAACACTTGCTTTTGGCTGCAACTTTATCCCCAGGGTGCTGCAAAGGTAAAGAACTAACACATATTGAATAAATGAAGGAGAAGCTATAAATAGTTTCTTTCAGAGCCCATGTATGTACTTGGGGGTTCACTGAGGGTCTGAATTAGAATATTTCATAAACAGACATGTTTATGAAATAAAGCTTCCTTAGTTTTGAGTGTTCTATAAGAAGATGCATATAGGAATATATAGGAATGCCGATAGCACTTATGTAAGCTCAGGAAAAGATGTTCCTGAGGAAGAAATAGAAATTAGAATATGGAAATGCAGAAGATGTATCCTATTGTGATCAATAAACCAAAGGAATGAAAAGTCAGGGGAGGGACCCTGGATCAATGGCAAATCAATGCCCTAAGTGTCTCAGAATGATCCTAGGGTAAAACCCTTCCTCCTTCATTTCAAAGTCTGTACTATATTCCAACACAGAGGTCTTCCATGGCAACAAAGTGTGAGAGTTGTCCATGAAWTAGAAAGTAGAAAAAGGCATTTGTCTTAGCTTATGTCAAATGGCAAAACAGGAATTCCATTGTTCTAATTTAATTATCCAGCTGCTGAGGCTCTACTTAAATCCCTCCTTCTAGCCCTTTCTCTGATATAAGGTGTAGTCTGTGTCTCCACTTAGGACTGGGTGAGTAATTTCCTCTAACAGCAATCTTTTCTTTCTTTCTTTCTTTCTTTTTCTTTTTCTTTTTCTCTCTCTTTTTTAATAGGAGTGTGTTAGGTGTTCCTTCAATAGACCAGGAAGGTCAACACATATGTGCTAGAGACCTCTCTTGCTTAATGCAGAGCTCATGCAGACACCTTCAAATATAAGGTAATCACCCTTGCAAGACTGATTAGCTACTCAAAATGTGGGCCAAGACAGGCTATTAAGTTYTAATCCTCACCACTTCATTATAGCTTCCTCACACTGTTAGCCAACAAATTAAGTCATGGGCACAATTAAATTTCTTCCCTGGTTTMACTGCCCTATTACTTCCTATTAGGAACTGTATTCCCCTACATTTTCTCTTTTTAAATTTATATATAACAGCGGAATGCATTAYAATTCTTATTAYTTATATAGAGCACAATTTTTCATATCTCTGCTTGTATACATAGTATATTTACACCAATTCGTGTCTTCATACATGTACTTTGGACCCTACATTTTCTTTTTAAAAGAGGAATGTGGAACYTGTAGCTTTAYAAGCATGATACTTTGGGGATTTTTACTTTCTTGGGCATGCAGCAGTTGGGCTTAGTTTTTATCATTTTTCAGTGGTCCCATGGGATTTGGACCACCTCTATCCCAGAGGCTCTTTCAACATACCTCCGGTCTGTGGGGTAAAGTTCCACAGTGACCACATCAAGAGAGTTCCAGGCTGAGATGGTCAGTCCATTGTACAGACACAGCATGCCTATCATCATGGATTCACTGGTGCCAAACCAAAGGAAGAAGCAGCTGATTCCCGAGAGCACCATGGAGCCACCTGCCAACAATACAGATTCAAGGTGAAGTGTTTCCTGTCATCTCAGCAGAGCAAGGACTCTTGAACCTTTGAGAACTCTTAGGAAAACAAAAATCCATGGGAAAGTTGCAAACTGGGTTCCATAAAGCTCCAGGACAAGGGTGTTCACCTATATGAAAGTTCATCTCCCTGCTTTCTGAAAGCAGCAAGTATGAAATGCACATGTTCCATTACTCAGTTACTTAAGTGGAAAAATATACATTAGTTACACATAATTAGTTTTTCAGTCTGTTAACTCATGAAAACTGCTCAAATGAAATGTAATTAGACATAACTTTCACTACAGTTTAGTCTTAACGAAGGGTCTAAGGGATTTCTCCTCATGGGATGTGAATCTCCAGGGGAAGGGTACATAGTAGGAAGCAGGCTCCCCTAGAGTGCAGGGGCAGCCCTTTCCTTCTACCTGAAATSGAGCACACACCTAGCATGGTTAAGCGCCCAATTCTGTCCATCAGGAGAGCAGACACGATGTTCCCTGGCAACACTGCCAATGTCCCCAGGAAGTTGACAAAATAAATCCAGTAGGCACTGTAGTCATCGTCAAAGGTAATCTGGCAGCCCGTTTTGTTATGAAAAAATGAGCAGTTTTGAAATTCGCTGTCAATGAATTTATATGGCTCAAAATCTGTAGAAACAACAGAGAAAATTCATCAAGCTCTCACCAGGTATGAGCAACATACCAATATCAGAAAACCTACAATGAATTCAGAAAAAATCAGGGCTGGGCTGACTTGACTTTTCTTCTCCAGGCCAGATCAATGGTTTCTAGTCCAGTATCTGACATTATAAACGAACAGAGGCAGGGATACCTTTGTGGAATAAAGGAATCAATTAAGTTAAAGAGTCAGTTATCTTCTGATTTTCTATAGCTGGCTACTGCAAACTGTATTACTTGCTTAGTCCTTTACAAGATTACTTTATTCTAATTATCATGCTACATAAAAGCCATCATTATAGCACTAATAGTTTCCACACTCTAATTATAAAAACAATTTGTTTAAAATGTGCATGGATCAACCTTATTATTGCTATTTTATGGGACTCAGAGGCACCCAGGAGAGGGAATTTCCTTGGGTTCCTGAGGCTGCAATTTAAGGTCTACGTGGAGGAATCCACTGAGGTGATTCTCCTTTGAAGGTCATTCTCYTTGTGAAGTTTTTCTTGAACTTGGCTCTAAGAAGAATTGCAGGTGACAGTAGGTGTTGCTGAAAACCTTGTGATAAACTTGTTATCTTATTTGCTAATCAAGATTTTCCTAAAAAACCTGGTCCTCTGAGGTTCAATGGGTTAGAAGGTAGTGAAAGACAGCTCTATTTAATAAACAAAGACACTTTGACCCCATTCTCACTTGGAGCCAGGCAAAGCTTCTCTTGTCTGAACACCAAGAAGGCAAGGCTGATCCTCCTGACAGTGAAAAGTTGTTATTCTGGACTCATTTAATAGGATCAATGTGTGTGCATGGGAGAACAAGGGCTTTATAATCAGATAAACCCATCTTTAAAYATCACTTGTTATTGGTTCTATGATYGTGAACCAATTATTTAATTTTTCTAAACCTCTGCTATTATAAAAACTAATTAGATAATGAATGTTTGATGACCTGGAAATGGCATATGGTAAAGTCTCAATCAGTGTTGGCTTCCTTTTTTTTTTTCTGACTTTATTATATTGATTGGGATAAAATATAATATTTGARCATAGATACATGTTGTCCATATCTGTTACTAGAGTTAATGTATGCTCTTTTAAGCAAATGCCAGATTTTGAAACCAGGATTTCGCAGGTTAATTCTTTGCTTTAAAAATTATTCACCAAAGGATTTTGTGTGTGTGTGTATGTGTGTGTGTGTGAACTCTGAAGTTAGGCAAGCCCCATTTACACTAAATCTGACAAAGAAAAACAACACAAGCTTACCTTTGATTCAATCTGACTCAGGGAAYTTGTTCATTTACTTTAATCTCCACTTCCCACACAAACCCCTAGCCACATCATCACATGGTTATCACATTTCTGCCAACAGCTGGGCCTTTTGAAGAGGCCCCAGCTGGAGGCAGAGCTAACTGGCACACATACCTGTGTTGTCAAAAACAGTATCAATAAAAGTACAGTTCTTGAAGTAGGTGTTGACTGAAGTCACATCCTCAAAGGTACAGGACTTAAACACTGAGTCTTTGAAAGTTACGGATTTGAACTTGACCCCTAGGAATCTGTTCAACACACAAATACACACAAATTCATATCAATGACCTATAGCCATTAGAGTTCAAAGCTAAGTCAAACAGGTTTAGAGATGTGATGCCTCATGATAGACTTTCTTAATTTTTATAAGAACAAAGGATTCTGGGTTTTCTAAGCTCTTTGCTTTTCTGTTTTTCCCCTTGAGCAACCTGGTCTTTGTCTCTTTCATTGCTCACTGTCATTTCCTGGTAGGAGAAGCAATGACACTCAAGCTCACTTAGTTTTTTTGCAATGTTGGTAAAAGGTTTTGTGTGGTATGCAATAGAAGGTAGAGTCTGAAGATTACCTATTACTTATTTACTTTAAAATCCTATATTCCTGTTTCTTCAGATATGCCTTTATTTGAAAAAAGTTTAGGGTTAATGTTTCTAACTTGATGATATGTTCCTACCTGAATTTTTATTTTTKGGGGCAGGGCTTTACACCTGCTAGACAAGTGCTCTACCACTGAGTTTCACTTCCAGCCCCCTGAACTTTCAGTGAAAATCTGTTTCCTGAGCTGACAATCCCAGGCCTCTTCATTCTAGTGTGGGGACTTCCAATTATCTTGAAGAGAGGGCAGAAAATCCTGTTTCRTTTACATGAAAAATGACTGCCTCCAGGTCAGGAAGTCAAAAGGTTATACTCATTTCTAGGAGTATTTTCTTCCTCAAGGTCAACAGATATTCCTTGAGTCAAATAGAATTAGGAGAGTTCTGTTTACATTTGGTAGAATGATGAAACCTGCTGAGAAGCCTTTTGGGCATTGGAAGGGGGAATTCTAGGTGRTAAAGATAGTAACAGTCTTAATAACCATGACATCTTAGGAGAGTCTATGATTCAGATTAATAAGGGCTCCCAGCTGACACATATAAATATCATCAATGTATCTTAGTTCTATATTAAGACTGGATATACCCTTAGCTAGTCACTGAGAGGAAAATGCTTGATCATCTGGGAAGGAGCTTCTATACCAAGACTATACCTATTAAGGACAGAAAGGGACTAATCCTTCTAGGAAGGTGAGCTTACTTGAAAGCAATCACTAACTATTGAGTACTTTCAAAATTATTCTCATTGTAATGCCTGATTACATTTGTCAGTTCAAAATACACTGTGGCCTCACAGACCAACCAGCCTAAAAAAAATAATCTAGTTTCAACGTGTACTGCAGGGATGCAAAGGGAAAAAAAAGTCTATATGCACTAAAGGTTATCAGTTTTTTGAAAGTAGATTGAATTTGGAAAAGGGAAGCAATTTTAGGTTTGTTTTTTTGTTTGTTTGTTTTTTTGAGTACTGGGGATCAAACTCAGAGGCACTCGAACACTGAGCCACATCCCCAGCCCTAACTTGTGTTTTATTTAGAGACAGGGTCTCACTGAGTTGCTTAGTGYTTTGCTTTTGAGGCTRGCTTTAAACCCGGGATCCTCCTGCCTCAGCCTCCAGAGCCACTGGATTACAGACATGGGCCACCATACCCAGCTCCTTTTATTTATTATTTAAATCTATAGTTTTTAGATGTTAATGGACCTTTATTTTTTTATATTTATTTTTTAGGTGTAGATGGACACAACACAATGCCTTTATTTTTATGTGGTGCTGAGGATCGAACCGAACCAGGGTCCACCCGTGCTAGGTGAGCACTCTACCACTGAGCCACAATCCCAGCCCGATGGACCTTTATTTTATTCATTTATTTATATGCAGTGCTGAGAATCAAACCCAGTGCCTCACACATGCTAGGCAAGTGCTCTACCACTGAGCCACAACTCCAGCCCCCAGCTCCTTTTTACTTTATTTTGAGACAGTGTCTCACTAAACTGCCCAGGCTGGCCTCCAAATTAAAATCCTCTTGCCTCAGTCTCCTGAATAGTAGGATTAGAAGCATGTGCTACTTTGCCTTGCTCATCTTAGAACTTTAGTTAGTAAGTAGTTTAGTTAGTAACAAATACCACTAAGATTATGACTGAGACAGTCACAAACAGATTTTAGAAATTTCTAATAGTAACAATATATTTTTAAAGTAAAATTCCACCCTAGAATTACAGAACATTTGATGCTAAGGTTTCTACAAAAAGTAAATGCAGATTCAAGCCAGTATTTCAGGTGGGAGAGTGAAGCTGATCAATATGGCTTTAATGATTAGGCCCTTCAAAGATTGCAAATTAGATTAAGACCTCTTAGTTGGTATCTCTCCTGTCCATTACAAAGCATCCACAGAATTTATCTTACTGAACTGATTTTTTCCCTTGGGTAACTTTGGTTATTTTTGATTTTTACTTTTATTTTTAAATTTGGGACAATTTCTTAAGAATAATGTAAGCGATCAGGAACTTGTACCAGCAATTACTTTCTCAAACAACACATAGAGGAACATAAGTACATCACCTATTCCTTTCTCTGTCTGAAATAATGAACCAGAACCAACTTCCTGTTCACTTCTGTCTCCCGACATCCGGAGATGTTCCAGATCCCATTCTCAATAGCATCCCTTGGTGCTTTCAAAATACTTACATTGGAGGAATCATTTCTGTTCTCTAATCGAAACAAGTAAACTCATACAATTTAACTTCAATGTTTGATTCCACTTACTGGAGAAGGAAAGAATTATGAAAAGTGATTCCCTTTCTCAGGAATGAAAGACTCATCACATTACATTTCAGATTTCTTCCCTGAGTTAAAGAACCTATTACCCATTGCATTTTCTCTTCCTTATTTTCATTACTCTTCAAGGTCTTTCTGAATTTTCTTTTCATAGTGGTGAATCCCATATTTAAGGAGTGTGACACAACTTAGTTTCAGAAATAGTTTAAATGAAGCAACTGATAAACATGTATTTTCCATTTGGAAGTGAATTTCCATTCAGCCTGAAAATTACTAAATGTACAAACTAAAAACAAAACAAAACGAAAACCCCTACAGATTTCGGTGCAGAGAATACTAGTAAGAAATGAGTTTTTGTGAATAGCCAGGGATTTCAAAGTTTCTAGACCTGCCATTGTCGTATTCCATTCCAGTGTGAATCTGATTTTCCATTGTAAAGTTAATACTGAAATTTGCATATTTATCTTTTTGCACATTTCTAGTCAGCAATGCATATTCATCAGACTGCAGATGTTTAATGACATCAGGGAACCAAACCGATAATCCATAGTACCTGCAAAGATAAAGAAACATGAGTTTGTAAAGGTGCTGTCATGCCTGAGGCAGCAAGTTCCTCCCCAACATTTTCAGAGCAGTGATGGTTCCCAGTGAAGCACTTTCAGTTCTGACTGGCTCTCTATAGTATTTGAATGAATCAACACACAAGTCATTGGTGTGCTCCCTGCTCTTTTAAGAGTAATCTGCAAAAATCAGGTTAGGGAGATAGTTAGAGAGGTTAGCTGGGAAACCCCATGTAGGTAATCCCTAAACTCTTTCTTTGGGAAGTTATACAGAAAAAAATCCCGTCCTATACCTGAAGTGGTATAGGTGGTGCTTTGATTGGAATGTGTAACCCCCAAATTGAATCTTAAACCCCGATGTGATGGTGTTAAGAGTTGGGGCCTTTAAGAGATGACTAAGTTGCGAGGGCTCATGAATAAGATTAATAAAATGTAGGTGTGCAGGGAGCTGCCTCCTTCCTTTTGCTCCTTCTATCTCTTCCACAATGTGAGATGCTTAGTTCATCCCCAAGGAAGATGCAGCAGTAAAGTGCCATCTTAGAAGCAGAGCCCAGGCACTGTCCAGACCACCCAACTTCCTGGCACCTTGATCTTGGACTTTCTAGCCTCTAGAAATGTGAGTAATAAATTTCTATTACTTATTAATTACCCAGTCTTTGGTGTTTGGTCATAGCAGCACAAATGGACTAAGACATATGGCAACCTGGCCCCGATGTCATTTTTACCATTCCATGCTGCACTGAGAAACCCCATCTCTCTCCTGTGACCCAGCATGCATGAGAGTCTTTTCAGGATGACCTCTTTTGCTCATGGAGACTCTATTSGTTCCTATATTATTGTGACACTGCTAGTCTTGGGTACAGTCCCATTTCCTAAGGAAGCTCAAGACTGTGGAAAGGGACATTAAGATCACTATCTGAAAAATCACGTTATTTCTGCCACTTGGCCTCTAACATAGTATTCTAACAGCTACATCATGCTTTTGTGCTGTTCAGACCAGTGGCCACTAACCACTAGGCAGCTGAAATGCAGCTAGTTCAAACTAGATGTGCTATAAATACAAAATATCACAGGATTTTGAAGACATGAAAAAAGAATATAAAATCAGTAATTAATTCTTTTTATATTTATTATATGTCAAAATGATACTACTTTGGACATAWTAAGATGAATAAAATACAGTATTAAAATTAATTTTGCATATTTCTTTTTATTTTTTTTTGTATGTGTTTTTGTGTCTATCAGAAAATTTAAAAGGACATATGTGGTTTGTATTATATTTCTAGTAAACAGAGCTGCTCTAATGTAGTAGGTTTCAAATGAGATCCCTGGGCCAGTGCCCATGAACTTGGCCCCAACCAGGCCTGATGACTGAAAGACTCTGGATATGGAGTGTTATTGTTCTAATGAGCACTCAAACATGGGAACCACTATTCTAGTTTGTCCCCAGTGATGCTTAGCTGTAGAGGAAATAAGTGGTTATGACCACAGCCTTTGCAGTTGGAATAGGTTTGAGTTCCAGCTTATCACTTGCCAACTTTGTGAACTTGTGCCAGTTAGCTAAACCCTCATTAACCCACCTACTATATGGTAATGGATAGTAGTACCCACCTTCCTTCCTGGGTGGTTGCTCAGATTAAATGGAATGCAAAGTACCTAACATACCRAGGGGGTTCAAAACATTTTTATCATCATTATTGCCATTAGGATTTCTGAAACATCTGTGCCATGTATCTATTATRAGACCATGTATCTATTATGTATCTATTTTTGTGACACTGCTAATCTTGGGTACAGTCCCATTTTCTAAGGTGGCTCAAGACTGGGGAAAGGGACATTAAGATCACTATCTGATACACCTATTATGATGAGGTTGTGCGGCCAGTCACTGAATAAGAAATGACTCAGGGACACTGACTTCATTCCCACTGTTCTCTAGTTCATAAACATAGAACAAAAACTTAAAAGTGGCAACAATGAGGGAAGCTTGCTTCCCTGGAACATTCATCCGCAATGTGGAGCAGTTTCAGCTACTTTTTCACGTATTCAGCAAACATTTTCTGAATGTCCACTAAATGTTAACATTGTTGAATAATAGCAGTAAAGAAATGTGGTCATTACTGAGTAAGTTACCAAAATAAACACCAGATAATCTTCAGGTAGCTGTTCACCTTGAGAGAAGTACTTTCCTTTGGCTTATCTTTGTCTTCTCTGTACCTATGCTAGTGCTTAGTATACAGTAAGAACCTAATATATGCTAATTTTCAGCTATCCTTCCTTCCAACATTAATGGATTTTCTAGAAATTGTGTGAGAATTACTTTCCATATCCTAAAAACAAAAACAAAAACAAAACAAACAAAAATACCCAAAGCCCTTAGCTTAAAAATGAGGAACTGGATGACAYAGTTAATCATGTCACCCAGTAGAATGGGCTTCTATGACCCTGGTCTTCCTGCCATCCTCCTTTCCTTGTATTATACCTTACTTGGGAAAGAACTATCATCTTGGACCACTTGCCTGTTCTAATTTGTGGCTGTTAAGGGAGAATTTGCAGAGTAAATATTGGGTTCCACCAGGCATCAAAATCCTATTAGGCTGACAGTATAGGGTACCATCTAATTGCTTTTTTCTTAACTGCAAACTAGGCAACAATCAAGTTACACATGCACATTTTAAAGTGGAGATGTCAACTATTAGCAAATAAAATTCCACAAATTCTCCCTCTCTTTTTTTTTCTTAGAACAAACATATGGCATTTTTTTTTTATTCATTTGGCAACAATGATTTATTGAGCTTATATCATGTTCCAGAGATGTATGTCAGTGAACAAGGTAGTTTAAAAATCCTGTCGTTGTGGAGTTTCCAGAGGGGTAAGGCAGAGTCTTATTTCTCACACAGAATTTTGTGTAATAGAAGGTAGAAAGTGCTACAAGGAATAATAAAGCCAAAAAGATAATAGAGAATGTGGAGATGCTATGACTTAAAAAGAAAGAAAGAAAGAGAAAAAAAGGGAAAGAAAAAAAAAAAAGGTAATAGGGACAAGCATCACCAAAAAGGAAAGACTTGGAGTGGGTGAAGAAACAAGGTGAGCAGCTGTCTGGTGGCACCATTCCAGGCAGAGGTGGTGCAAAGGCCTGAGATGGAGACAGTCTGCATATTCAAGGGAGAGCAGAGAGGCTGAGTGGCTGGGGCCAAGTGGAAGCATAGAGGACACTGGACAGTCACAGGGATGAGTCATCCAGGGCCTTATCAGATTTCCAAATGCTATTGGTTTTGTCAGCCCAGGTTTATGAGACAAGATAAATAAAATTTATTTTTTATTGGTTTTAAAAACCCATAATTTTCGGCAAATCTAAGCTGAAAATAAAAACATTTTTTTATCCTTAATAGGTTAATAACATGGAACTGAAAGCAGTGTGGCTGGGAATTACGATATAGCATTTAATGATTTCACTCACCAAGAATTTAAATATCACTTACCCAAAGGACAGGGTGAACCAAACGATTGTAAGCTTTATTGTATTTTCCCTGACGGGATAGTTGAAACATCTCATAAAAGTCATCCAAATCTGTGAAGTATTAGAGAAACAGTTTTCTTATGCAATTAGTCAACCCCATTCCCTTGCCCCTTCCACTGAATTATAAGAAAGCTGAATTTTTGTTGGGCTGAATTCATTTCAACCTAAGGMCCAGAGGGAAACATATACTGGAATTTTCACTTCTCAGCTTCCTGAAGGCCAATGGACTGCAAGACAGCCTGTCTATGGCCATTCACCTTCCTACCCAAGGACAGGGCACAGTGGCTAGCTGCTGATCCCAAAGTGGTCAGATTGTTTAGTCCTCATCCAAGTTCAGATGTCCAAGACAAAAAGGAAGAATCCCAATGATGGGATAGGTAGGGTCAGCCCCTCTTCTCACTATCCCCAATTGTAAGAGGTTGACATGCAGGTCAGTGCAGAACTGGGTACTTACTCCATGCAGTTCTGTGCGGATCCGAACAAAACACCTCCTGTACCATGTTCCGGTATCACTCTCAATTTCAATCAACTCATCTATTTGTTTAGGGGTTTTGATTTTATTTACCTGTAGAAAGCAACAGAGCACAAAATGCTGAGTTCTCTTCTCTAAAGTTGCTGAGTTTAGGCTGGTTCTCTTTCTCTCTTTCTCTCTCTCTATATATATTTTGTTTATTTGTTTTGTTTTGTTTTTGTTTTTGTTGTAGTTGGACACAATACCTTTATTTCATTTTTTTTTATGTGGTGCTAATGATCAAACCTAGCGCCCTGCAAGTCCTAGGTGAGCACTCTACCACTGAGCCACAACCCCAGCCCTCACAATATATTTTTAAAGAAGTGAAACCTGACTCCTATAAAAAGTGATATTCAGTAATTACTCCATACAAATAGGAGACCACTGGTGTCAGTATACAGGTCCAAACAGCACCTAAGAGAACTGAACAAGAAATGAGTGGCAGGGGATGTTGTAGAGAAATGGAGGAAGAGGAAGTAGTAACAGAAAGATATGAAAACAAAATACCCTTCTCTGAATCATTACTATGAAGAAGACATTAGCAGATAAAACACTCAGATTAACTTATGCATTAAGAATTATTTTGAATTAAACTCATGAAAACTATAATTCGCTWATAAACAAAATGTCTTATTTTTTAAAAAAAGAGTTATTTTTCTTGGGAGTTAGGGCTATAGCTCAGTGGCAAAGTGCTTGTCTAGCATGTGTAAGGCGTTGGGTTCCATCCTCAGCACTAGAGATAAATAAATAAAAATAAAGGTTCATCCACAACTAATATATATATAAAAGAATTATTTTTAAAAATATTTTTTTAGTTGTAGAGGAACACAATATCTTTATTTTTATTTATTTTTATGTGGTGCTGAGRATCGAACCCAGTGCTTCACATGTGCAAGGCAAGTGCTCTACCACTGAGCTACAGTCCCAGCCCCATAAGAATTATTTTTATTGACCTTCTTTTATTGACCTTTATACTCTTTAAAGCTTTCCCATCAAACTTGTGTTTGTAGAGTGTCACTAAGGCCCTTTCCTCCTTCTCCTGCAGCCTAACCAAGAAGTGGCTAGCCAGCAAATCCCACAGGTGGCCTCAATGCAAGTGACTGAGCATCAACACTAATTCTTCATTTTCTCAAGGGAAATCAATGGCAGAAGTTCAACAAGAAAAGCTGCATCTGCGACTCCAGATAGTCACTTTTTGCTAAGAAAAGAGCTACAAAACAGGTGAGCAGTGTTTTCAGCACAGAGAATGAATCCTGAAAAGAGGAAAAAAGGAAGAACAGCTCCTTTGTGGACCTGGCCCACCTTCCCCTGCTAATCCACACATAGGATTTTTGAACCATCTGAGAAGACATGGAAATGCATATCTTTTACCCTTTACTTTTTATTCTTGTTTGAGCAGGTTTTTCTGGGAAGCCTGTCAACATTCCAGATAGCAATTCTACTGTATTGCCATCCTCAATATCCAGGTACTGAGGGTGGATTTTAACAGAGAGGATGTGGGGACCCTAAGCATCTTTCAAATTGTACCAGGCAGGCAGTAGTTTCTTTTTGGCTATGTGAACAAAGATGTCTATTTCTGGGTTAAATATGGAATTTCAAATATAATCAGTTCAAAATAACCCATGTAGGGATTATTCTGTGATACTCTAGTTTTTTTTTTTTTTATCACAAGTTTTTTGGGTTTTTTTTTTTTTTTTTGTCAATACTGGGAATTGAACCCAGGGGTGCTTTTTCACTGAATTACATCTCCATCCCTTTTTGTTTTGAGACAGGGTCTTGTTAAATTGCTCAGGCTGGCCTTGAATTTTCCATCCTCTGTTTCAGTCTCCTAAGCAGCTGGGATTATAGGCTTACACCACTGAGTCTGGCAAAGAATGTTCTCATAATTCAACGTTTTATTTTTGAGAGGCTTCCACTTCTCCACTCATCAACATTTGATCATTCATCCATTCATTGACACCTACTGGAGCTGTAAACATGAAACATCATAACCTCCAAGCAATTACCACATGAGAGTGGAAGTGCTCATGTGGAGGTCTGTATAGAATGAGAAAAATACTGTTCAGAACATTCAATTTGATGAAAATCAGAAAGAGAAAATCAGAAAGCTTCATGGACTCTAGAATYTGTATTGAGGTAGACAGAGAAGTATAATATTTGCTAAGTGTATAAACTGTTTGGAGAAATAACATGTACAAACATTGGAGATGTGAGGGAAAACGGTGTAGTGGCTAACAACAGAGTTTGGCATTTTGGGCAAATAGTGCAAGGTCAGAGGACATTGAGTGATTAAGATTSAGCCAAATTGGAGGCAGTAAGAATTGGAAAGTAAGGAAAATTATGACTGGCAATTTAGGAGGTGAAATACGAGGAAATGGTGATTTATTGGATATAATGGTGGTAAGTTCAGGTTTAGAGACATAGTGTTTGAAGGGCCATTGGATACAGAAGGATGTTCACAAAGCCCTTCAACATGCATGTCTGGAGCTTAGGAGATTTGTGCATTAGGAGACAGAGACAGACGAAATAGCTGAGAACAATTAAGGAGAGTGTGTAGGGGGTTAACAGAGAAGTTAGCTGAAAATGAAGTCTCRGAAAATACCTAAGGTAAGGACAGATCAAGAAGAGCTTAAAGAGGAGACTTTGGGTAAAATGCACACCACTTTGTTGTATTGTATATAGAACTAAACAAAAAAGATAAATTTGTCATGGTAGAATCATGTAATGATTTTAGAAGTCATGTGTAAAAGACTTGGAGATTATCCATTCTTTTGGTGCATTTCCACATTATTCTTTTTCAACATTTATGTAATAACCAGGATGACCATGAGTAGGTTTGGTGACTCAAGCCTTCTTGAAGAAAAGGTAGGCAAGCAGGGCAATGAGAACCTACAGAGACACTTTCTCAGAAGGTCTTTGATAAGGATTTATCCTTGTCTGAATGAGAAGGGTTAAATAACATGAAGTATCTAGATGACATCTCAAGTTTCCTCCAGCCTTATGAGTCTTTAATTTTAAAAACTGTTAATAATGTTAATGCTACTGTACATTAACTCAAAAGAAGGGCCTATTAAAAGGCCACCTGGCCTTGAATGGGGGATATCCATTACTGATCTTCATTTTTCCATCACATTGCATAGAAAATTTTGCTAATGAAGCATCTGTGAGGTTGGTGGCCGTGGTAGTGTTTGCCTAGCATACAGAGGTCCTTGGTTGGATTCTCACCTCTGGAAATTAACATCTGATAATTTGGATAGAGGCCAGATTAAAGCACATCTTTACATTATAAAAAAATCTATTTCCTAAGTAGGAATGAACTGAATAAATAAGATACTTAATCAGGGTCCATTTTACATGTTTTAACAACTGTAATTGATACTATTAAAGCCACTGAAGTTCTTACGTAGGTTCCTTTTATGTTTTAGTGAACATCCTTTTAAACTTTTTTACAACAAAGTTTAAAAATATTTTTAGTCTACTTGTATGACTGTGTATATCAAAAGATTTAAAACGATCATTCCTTCCAAAAATTTTCATGCATTAATTTTTATTAATTTGACTGGCTTTCCATATAGTTTATTCTTTATAGGGAATAAAAACTAGAAGATGGAAGAACATTCCTGGCAGAGAGAACAGTTTGTGACATATTAGGTTGAATGGCAAACCTTAGGGACTGAAAGATGAGTGTATATATAGAGAGGACCTGAAAAGTAGGAGGGTCTTGTCCTTGTTGTCAACATTGAGGATTTTTGTCTTTATCCTGAGAACAATGTGAAGTCAGTAGAATGTGAAATTGGGATACTCATTATATATGTTTGTGTTCATGTGTGTACATGTATCATAAAATGAGACCTATTTAGAAATAAATTTCTTGATTCTTTCATCTTTTATGTTCTTATCAAGCCACAATAAGGTATAGCTACATATTTGGATTATCTTTCTCTRGCTTCCCACAAGACTACCTTCCTTTTTCAAATTCTGATTAGTTAGTGACCTAAGAAATTGACACGTGCAAAATATTTGCCTTTATGTAAAGTTTTTGTTGTAGATAACACCTCTTACATTGCTCAGTAAGATTATTATAAATTTTTCACAAATTAGAACTAAAGTTGACTTTTTTTAAAAAAAACAAATATTTACTTTATATCAAAAACTATGTAATCTACCAGAGGAGAGGGGAAAGAAAATGGAGGTATTAAGGAAGGAAATCGAATGAATTATGTTACTTGCATATATAAATATTTAATAACAACTTCCATTATAATGTACAATTATAATATGCTAATGAAAAAAAAACAGAAAAAAACCCTTGTGCAATCTATTAAATCTGTCTTTTACCTCGGTTGTCAGGAAACCCTGAGATTAGTTTCATGCTTACTTACACTGCTTTGATCCTCTAGTATAACTGTTTTCTCATTTTTTACTGGATTAAAAAAAAAACTCTTAGTAAATAACTTTAAAATTTTACTAAGTATCTTAATGTTTCTTAGGGCCTCAGCATTATGAAGGATAATTCCTGACATCTTGGAGAAAACACTACAAAGTTGCTATGAATGGTTATCTTTGGAGGGGTTGTATGTCATTGGGAAACACCCTGGAAGGTTAGTGACGAGAATTATTACTAGAATTATTATTAATGCCACTGTGTTTCATATAATCTGACCTTTTTTTTTCTTTCTGTGGTAATGGAGTGTCTCGTAACTTAAAATCTTTCTGCATTAGGATGTTCTGTGCTTCTTGGCTGAGCAGCAGGTGGAAATACATTTCACGGGCAAGAGCAGTGGCCTGGCAGAGCAGAGGGGATGGCCCAACAGGCATTGATCTCCTCTGACAGCAAATCAAGCGGTATCTGTTGGTGATCCCTACAACCAAGGGCCTCCTGTCCTCTGGTTCTGAGCCTGGGAGTCAGAATAAGTCTGAGATCAAAATGTGATCTTTTTACCTTAACCCATCTCTCAGGGTGGTGGTATTCTTTAAACAAACACAGAGCCGTGGAGTTATAGTTAGTCATAGATAGGGTTGACAACCTACAGACCAAACCAKCCCTCTGCTTCTCTGAGTAAATAAACTTTTATTAGAACACAACCACACTCATTTATTTACACATCATCTGTAGCTGCTGTTATATTACTGTGGTGGAGTTGCATAGTTGTGACAGACACTAAATGGTTTGCAAAGTTTAAAATGTTTACAATCTGGGGCTGGGGTTATGGCTCAGTGGTAGAGCACTTGCCTAGCATGTGTGAGGCACTGGATTCGATTCTCAACACCACATATCAATAAATTAATTAAATAAAGGCCCATCAACAACTAAAAAAAAATTWAAAAAATTTAAATGTTTACAATCTGAATTGTTGTAGCTATTAACTTCACAAATAATTAAAATTTAAACCATTCAAAAATAAAGAAAATGCTGAGTACTTGGCAGAGTTTGTTTATAATGCATGTAAAGTTCTTTATATGTGATGTTATTTATTGACTTGAAATTTTTTTAAGTCTATGAAAATTTTTTAAGTCTCTGTTAAGTCTATGAAAAAGAACAGTTGCTATTGTTTCACTCTGATAAATAAAAAGATGGGGCGCACACACACACACCCCCCCCAAATATTTACAATCTGGTCCTTGACAGAAAATTTGTCCCAGACTCTGGTGTGGAAGATTCTCTGAGCAGACTCACCGTGAAGACCTTCTCAGGTTGACCCCGTGCTCTCATGTTAGTGTCATGAATCAACTTCAGAATCATCCAAGCTTCATCATGTTTTCCAACCTAAGAAATGTACAGGCAGTGAGGCTCTAGGAGCAAAACACATAGAACCCCCTGATTTTCCAATAGCCATCTTGTACTCTCAGACCACCTAGAGTGTAATTGTGCAAAGGCAAGAGATTATCTGGATGTCWTTGAATACACTAGCAGTTCAAACAGTGTGCCTGTAACTTGGAATAGTCCATGTGGATGGCAAAATTTCATTTACAAAATAATAAGGCATGTTCTCTTCACTGAGTGAAAGGTTGTTTAAGGAGGAACATAAATATTTCTGGCCATGAGGCAGCTTTTCCACACATTGGTTGTTTAAAACCTGTCTTCATGAAATCTAACCCTTCATGGTTCCATGTAGGAAGGAAAACTGTTATCTGCCAAAGAGGCCAACATACTTCCTAGGGTCAGCATGGAAGTCCTCCCAGTGTATGTGGGCTACYTGAGTATATGTCATAAACATTACCTCCAACAAGAACCGGGGGCTTTCKGGCATGAAGGTGAGGGCTACCACAGAACAGACGCAGGGCAGCGCGCAGACGATGACGAATACACGCCAGCTGTGAAACTGGTAGGCTGAGCCCATGCTGAAGCTCCACCCTGGAAGAGCAGACGGGAAGAATGAGCAAGGCTTCCCCTAGGAGCCTGTCAGGAGAGTCCCCCTGGCATCTCCACCTTGGATCTTTCAGTMGAGTTTTACTGTCCTCAGAGGAACAAGCTGATCCGCCATGGTGACCAACTCAGTTTTAAGTGTACCATGGGCCAGTGCTGAAATAAAGATGCTTGACCCCAAAGGGCTTCAGGTCTAAGTAGAGTGTGCATGTGGGCTTATATATAATCAAATCCCAAAGGCCAACATTAATTAGGGAAAAATGCTTCATCCAATAGGTCACTGTGCTGGGTATCTTGTGTTTGTTCTTTCAGATCACTCTCCACTATTTTCCACCCTGCTGTCTGCCATGAAATGGCTCTCTGTAGACAGCATCCATGGCTCCCAGTTAGGTTGGAGTAAAGGAAGCAGCCAAGGGAACACTGGGTCTGCTGAGCTTGGTACCCAGCTCCAAACAGAAATGGAAGATTTCTAAATGTAACACAAATAGAATTTTTATCTTAATATAGAAAAAAACCACCACAGTGGGATGCAAACAGAAATGCCTTTAAGAACAAAAAGCCAATCTTTGAATGAATATTAAAATGGTTGAAAGGAAAATGCAAACATGATTCTAAATGCAAAGTAATTAGGCGTATCGCATCTAATTGAAAACACAGAGGAGATTTATAGAGGCAGAGATGAATTATGTGGAGTGAAATTCTAATTTATAGCAAGGCTTGGTGTTTCTAAGACTTTCTGTGAACATAAGTCAGGTAGTCTACATCCCAGTCCCAGGAGAGCTGTATAATTATTCACTGTTCACAAAAAAGCCAAGTGAGATTCTGAAGGTGACATAACTTCCTCAAGGCCACAGAGCTGAAGTCACATATCAGAATCTTCCCTGTCAGGATTTGAAACAGAATTATATATCAACACATGGCCTCATGTGTGTACCCACTCACTCACTGATTTTGTTGACAAGTGATGTAAGCCTCAGTGACATACTATATTAATCTTAGATTAATAAATTTTCCTGGGAATTTAATATATGGATATTATGGGGGTTGATAAATTAATTTTTAAATAAATGTTATGGAAATATGATTGCTCTCGATGCTTTATGTGGCATAAAGTAAAAAGTTTTACCTATCCAATGCAGAAGAAATTCTATGATGGAACAGGGGAAATATAACTGCTTATTTCAAATTTGATTTCAGAGCTTCATATAAATACCTTTTTTTTAAAAAAAAAAAAAAGACATTCTAGGTTCTATTATTTTAAACATTGGAAGAAAAATGAAAGCTTTCAGCGATCTGTTAAATTTCAGGCTAGAGCACATTCCGTAAAGTACAAGGAAGAGGATCAAAGACAAATGGGGGAAGGCTCTGGTACCATCGATCAAATATATTAGTTCAGAAAGTGAATTTTGTAAAGGAGAAATTTACTACAGTGAGTAGAGTTGGATGCTTCTTGTAGATGGAATAATGCTTCCTCCCCCCAAAGACATTCTCATCCTAATCTCCAGAGTCTGTGAACATGTTACCCTACATGAAAAGGGACCCAKCAAGAATTATTAAGTCAAGCATCTGGAGAGAAAGATTGTCCTGCAGTATGTGACGAGGCCAAGTGTAAATRCAAGTGTCCTTCAATGGACAAGAGGGAAGTAGGAGAATCTGAGTGAGAGAAGGACAGGAGTGGAGGGAAGCTGAGGTTGGACTGGGGAGATTTGAAGACACCATGCTGCTTGCTTTGGAGATTGAGGCAGAGACCACAAGCCAAGGAATGCAGGTGACTGGTAGAAAAGGCCAAGACTCCTCTCCTAGCAAAAYTCTGCCAGTGTACTTGAACTTCTGACCTCCAGAAGTATAAGATAATAARTTTATAATGTTTGAGGCTGAAACATTTGTGGTGATTTATTGCAGCAATAATAGGAAACTGATACACTCCTCTTTGTAATTACAGCTTGTGGTAGTTAGCTTTTTCACCACTGTGACCAAAAGACCTGACAAGAACAATGTAGAGGAGGAAAAGTTTATTTGGTGCTCATGGTTTCAAAGGTCTCAGTCCACAGATGGTTGACTCTGTTGCTCTGTGCTSGAGATGAGGCAGAACATCAAGGTAGAAGGGTGTGACAGAGGAAAGTAGCTCAGGATGTGGTGACAAGGAAGCAGAGAGAGGGCTCTCTTCACCAGGGACAAAATATATACCCCAAAGACATGCTCCCAGAGACCTACCTCCTCCAGCCCACCCTACCTGCAACCCAGTTAATCCATTCAAGTGGATTAACATGCTGATTGGATTAAGGGTCTCATAACCCGATCATTTCACCCTCTAAATTTTCTGTGCTGTCTTACACAACACTTTTTGGAGACACTTCATACCTAAGCCAGACACAGCTCCCTCACTAGCTTGATGGGTGAAATTAAGTTGGAGAATTGTAGCTATTCTCTATGAAACTCCWGGCTCCCTGCTTTTGCCTAGATTTCTCCAGATGCCCCTCCAAAATCATCAGGCTCCTTCTCAACAGCTGGTTTTAGGAAGGTTGCTTTGGAACATGAAATCAGTGGATGAAGAGACTTACTACAAAGTGATTCCAGTTGGGAAGGTTTCAGTCTACCAAGGATATTGGATAACAATGTAAAATCAAAAGAGAGGGCTGGGGTTGTAGCTCAGTGGTAAAGTGCCTAGCATGTGTAAGGAACTGGGTTCAATTCTCAACACTGCATATAAATAAATAAAATAAAGGTCCATTGACAACTAAAATAAATAAGTAAATTTAAAAATAAAAAAAATAAGGGGCTGGGATTGTGGCTTAGCGGTAGAGTGCTCGCCTAGCTTGTGCAAGGCCCTGGGTTCCATCCTCAGCATCACATACAAATAAATAAATAAAATAAAGATATTGTGTTCAACTACAACTAAATAATAAATAGTTGAAAGAAAAATAAATAAATAAAACCAGAAGAGAACTAACTGATCCAGAGGCCAGCTCTGCTCAGTTTAGAACAGCTGAAGATTAGCCGGTTCATTGCTGCTCAGGTCTGCCTCTATGTCATTAGCCATGAAGTCTGTCTTCTTATTCCTTGCATGGTGTACATGTATCCATGTGTGTATATACCCATACATGCACAATCACATGCATTTTGGTGACCTCTTTCTGTGTAAAGAATGTGTTGTCCACCCATTTCTCTTTTCATTTATTTGCAATATGCCTTTCTCCCACGCTCCAAAACTATTTTTAATCCTTTTGTCCATCCCTTTCCAAATATCCAGTCGTCAATCTCATTCCTTATACTTGACCTCAYTTCCTGATCCTTTGAGAAAAGAAACACAGAAAGAACTACATACATCTCATCTTCTCACTCCTCACTAGCCTGATTCGCCTTCTCCTGTCCYATCTCTATAGCAGATGACCTGTCCATGTGCCAATCTAAGGTCCACTGGTTCATGTGGACTCTGAAGCCCATCTTTCTCTTCCTCACAGGGACAGAACTCCTGTAGTTACCTACCTCTCCTCTCCAGCCCTTACCAGCACGTTTTTTTACTTTACTTCAGGAGTTGTTCCTTCCACACATCCACGCCCAGCATCTAGTAACACCCCTTCCTTGGCCCCCACAGGCTTCTGTGGCTGCATTGCTTTCTCTTTCCTCGTCACAGCAAACACTTCTCAAAAGAATGATCGGTAGCAACTGTCTCCACTTTCTCACTCCAAACAGACTTCTGTCCTGAATTCCACACAAATGGGGYTGGTCAAGGTCACCAATTTTGCCAAATTTAGCAGTCACTTCTCTGTCTTTATGTTACCCAAAACTTCCAAATCATTTCATACAGCTATCTATTCCCTTGTTTTTGAAAAGTTTGTTTTCCTTAACTTCCTCATCAGTACTACTCTGTTTCCCACCTGACTGGCCCTCCTTAGCTGGTCCCCCAAAGTCTGCAAACCCCAATATTGTCATCGACTCTCTCCCCTGTCTATAGGTGGGTTCATTTATCTCCAGACTTCATGCACCCTCTCCATGTCTTTGCCTGTAAAATGTATCCTGTTCTCTTCCTGGAATGCCAGAACCACCTCTCTACCTGCCTATTTACCTCTTTACAGAGATAGATACCTACCAGGCATTTCAGATATACCATATGCAAAATGGAACTTTAGATTTTTGACCACACTACCAAGGAAAAACTATCATTTCTCTCTCAACTTTCCTAATCCAGCTCTGCCAGTCAGAAATTATTCATGCTAAAAACATTCAATATTTCATCCTTGATTCCCCATTTTCCCTTACTATCTGCTATGTTCAACCCATTGGCAAGTTCTGTCTCTAAAATTTATCTCAAAACCATCCATTTCTTCTTATCTCTGTGGTACTACACAGGTTCCAGTTCACATGGACCGCTTCCTGATCTTCAGTGACAGCCTCTTAACTGGTCTCCCTGCCTCTCTTGGTCTGCCATAGTCCACTTTCCCTATAGTAGTCAGAGTTGTATTTTTTAAACATCAACAAGTACACTTTGCTCTGCTGTTTAAAGACTCCCCACACATATGAATTGCAACCTACGTGTCTTACCACAGCTCCAAGACCTGCATGGACTGATCCCTAGTTACATGTCTGAGCTCATCTTCTTCAGCTGATCCTTTTCCTCACTTGGTCCAGTTCCACTGATCAGCCTGCAGTTCTTTGAAAATAGATCCTAATTCTAATCTTTGGGGCTAAGCCTTTTCCCCAGAAACCTARCCATGCATTTAAAAGTATGTTTATGTATTTTAGCCAGTCTTTCTGAGTTTTGAAGTAAGGTGTTTTTTTGTTTTGTTTTGTTTTGTTTTTTGTCCTCAGCACATCTCACCTCAATTTAGATTATAGTCCCCTACAAGTCCTTAGCATTTGATATCTGCCCCATCTGGACTGCTCTGTCTAAATATTTGCATTGATGGCTGTCTCCTTCCACCTTCTAGGGATCARTTTAAGGTCAGAGGGATCCACACATTAAATCCCACTTTCTGTCACTGGAGACC